AAAAGTAAAATTCGGTAGGTGTAATTCGGGGAAAGGGGACGGAATTGTAGTTACGACAATTTGAATATATCAACTATCATCTGTGAAACGGATATTCCATAACGGTCAACCAACTCGTGATGGTGTCCGTGAAATTTACGAAGATATAATTTCAACTTCACCACTTGGAACTCTTGCTTTCATTGCTTTCTTGTGAACAGCAACCCTCTATCAAGGCGCAATTGGTGCTCAAAAGAATGTCTACAATATGTCGATAAACTATATTGCCGGGATGAACAAATAAATGTCAAGGAGAAAACGTATACAAATATAATATCACATCAGTTTCAGTAAGTATATCTAGCATATTGACGTTTTTTCATTACAGAAGAAGGCTTAATAATTTCAGCTTTCCAATTGTGAACTTTCTAATTCTATGTAGCAACATTCCAGCAGAGCATACGGAGTATATATCTCCCAGTTGATACGATATTCCAGGGCTTGTATTTCCTTTCATGATTTCCTTGATAGAGGGTTGCTGCTCACGAGGAAGCTATTAAATCAAGAGTTCCAAGTGGTGAAGTTGAAATCATCCCTTCGTAAGTTTTACGGACGCCATCACGAGTTGGCTGACCGTTATGGAATATCCGTTTCACAGACGATAGCGGATATGTTCCTAATGTCGTAACCATAATATCGTCCCCCTTTTCCCGAATATGACTTACCAAATCAGACTTATTACCGGGTTTGTACTAACATGAGCAACACGACGGGTGCCACATGTGGAGCAGGATCTGCTTACCCTTCCGGAGCACCTGAGATCACCCCTAGTTTTTAGTGGGGTTCTTTAGTTTTCTATGTTGTGTTTTATGAACTATTGTTTGTCTGTTGGGCTTTTTCTTTTTTAGCCATGGCGTTGTCTGTATATTTTCGACTTATGAGTTTGAATGTCCCTCTGGTATCTTTCGCCTCTCTTATAAATTATACAGTCAGGATTTTGTTTCAGTAACCACAAACTACTATTAAAAGTCATAATAACTACTAAAAAGTAAAATAACAAAAATACCAAACTCCAAGGAAAATTCAAAACGGAAAGTCCCTTAACAAATGGCAAAATCAAATGCTCAAACGAATGGAAAACAACTGTCACATTCCTGACTTGGAACAGGCATTTTCTTATGTAGAAAATTGTGGATTACACTTGGTTTAATAGCTAGCAAAACCTCTCACTTGTATGACAATCGCATAAAATCCCATTATTTTGACAACAATATGTGAACAACAGAAAAATACATAATAGGTAAAAATGTCAATAATAGGGGTACAACAGTCAAATTTGTGTTATAATCTTATTCATTATGAAAACATATATAAATAGATGCAAAGCTGTTGGTAAAAAGTTTAGCGGTACTTTATTACAAACGAGATATCGAATCCTAAATATTATAGAAATGTTGTGTATAAGCCCGTAAATTTAAATACGATCCATGTAAACTTATTGATTCTTTAAAACAATATGTTTAAGGTTTACCTATTTAACATTGTAGGAACATCTTTGAATATTGTCTTTATCGGTACTAACAATGAATTTGTTATTCGTAAATATGTTTTATATACATTTTAAACCGTTATGGTCTTACAGCCTATCGATACTAATAGGTTGCCATTTTATAATTCCTCAGATTCATTAGGTCTTCTTTACATTACATCTGCTGGATTTGTACTTATTGATATTTTATGAAAGGGAAACATGATTTAACCATTAGTTGTAAGTGTCTTTGAACAATATTATAGTAACTGCAGTTGCACTTGATGTTTTTTCCTTTCTGTGATTGGTTATTTGGTTTCCGATCTAATGAGTCATGCCTTTTCCATCTGATTTTTATAGTTTCCTCATTGTGCTGTTACACCACTGTTCCAAGTTTTGGGAGTGTTCAGCTCTCGCACAAATGTGTTACCCCGCCCATTCTGTAGATGCCTGTTCGAAGTCAAGATCCTGTAAATAAGTAGTTGTCGATAGTTGTGTGTGTGTCATATTTGTCTTTTGTTTGTTGTTGTATCCTTAATCATTGCTTTTTCTCGTTTGAATCAGTTTTCATTTTGTTAATTCGGGGCCTTTGATACCTTTTTTATACGGTTTGGACATTGCTAATTACTGAAGATTGTACGGTGACTAATAGTTGCTCACACGCACGTCATTTTTGGACTCCGGTAGATAATTGTCGTATTGCATGTATTGGTTATCATACCACACAAAATTATTTTTATAACACAAGATTATTATATCTCATGTATATACATAATAATAAATTCTAGTATATTTATTTTATAAATTTCTTATAAAGGGAGACAATTGAGGTTCGGGTTGAGACAATTTCTACCGGTTAACAACACTATTATCCTATGACAGGAAATTGTTCCGAAACAGATTGAGATTATTTGCTCCGGAAGTCAATTGTATCTTACTTATTCGTGTTATTTTAATAACAATCTTTACTGTTATACATTTGATCCGTTTATTTGGCAATCGCCAATGGCAGTCAGGGTTTAAGAATATCCGTTGTCTGACCTGCTAGTCAAATTCGTTTTGTTAAATTATACTTTTTCAATTTGTTGGTCTTTTGGAAAATGTTGTTTGTGCTGTATTTAGACCCCTCTACCAAGAAATTTGTTTTGCATGCACACCTATAAAAATTGCGGTTTTTATCCAACGCAATCATAGGTTTGAACGTTGTTTTCAATTTAGACTTGTTTATATTTTTTCGTTTGGGCTTGTATTGTATTTGGCTTCGGGTTTATATGTTCCGTTCATCCTATTTCGACTCTTCAAAATTCAAGAGTCTATTCTAAATTGAGGTAAATTATATTGCCTTCCAAATACCGTTTCGATTCCTAACATCACTGAAGAGACATTAATTGTCGAAATCCGTATATGGTGTACTAATTTTTGCACCTTTTGTTTGCGGTATACCATCTTTTCCGCAAGTTTATTAATTTCTGTTTGGTATTAAATCAATAGTTTAGATCCATTTTGTTTCATCTGGTGATCCGTTTATTTGGCAATCGCCAATGGCTGTCAGCACGGTTTAAGAACATCCGTTGTTCGACCTGCTAGTCAAATTCGTTTTGTTAAAATAAACTTTTTCACTTTTTGGACTTTTGAAAAATGTTGTTTGTGCTGTATTTAGACCCCTCTATCAAGAAGTTTGTTTTGCATTCACATTTTTTAAAAATTGCGGTTTTTATCCAACGCAATTATAGGTTTGAACGTTGTTTTCAATTGAGACTTGTTTATATATTTATGCATATCGTTCCTTATAAAGAATTTTCTAGTTTAAAGTTTTAAGTTAAAAAAATGTAATACAGGTGTAGAGAAGGGCGGATTTGGGAATATTTTTTGGCAAAAATCGCTTATTATTTATTATTTGGTGTATAACTAACTTACACCCAATGCTAAACCCTATATTTGTTAGCATTAATTATCAAATGAAAAAGAATGGATAACATATTTATTGACAAAATCGAACCATGAATTTTAAGAAAAATCTTTTGTTTTTTACATGAAACCCCACTAGTAACCTTACTTTGGCTATGTTCTTTCAAACTTTGACAAGTGAGTAGATTTTACAAATGTCAAAGTTGCTGTTTTGCATATCCCGTTAAATCCTGGTGCTAATATGGATCAGAAGTTCAAGGTTGACCGTTTCGTGCATTCTTATCACAAAAAAATACATCATGCTCCTTGTATGCAGTTGTCAATATGGACGGGTATAAGACGGACGACATTTTGAGTCAAGCGTTGGATTTGGTAGAAGAGACTAAAGATAAAAACAATATTATAACCCAAAGTACTTACCTGTATCAGTTTAATGAAGGTAATCATCAATGTATTTTTTATGTTACGTTTTTTTAAAAAAAAAAGAAGCCCCCCCTCCCCATTTCTGAGAATAAACAAACATTCATATTCGGACACACTGAGGGATATGTGTGTCTGGATTAGAAACCCGACGACCGGGATCCAGGGGGGGGGGGGTTGTCCGGGAGTTATAATCCCTGTTTGTTTAAGATCAATGCTTCAGAATAAAGACTTTTGACTGGAATCAAAAATTTTACCTTCAAGCAAAGGAGTATTTAGGGAGCAACCATTTTAACTTCAAAGAAGTTTCGGGGGGAGGGGGTATGGTTTTTTGTCGGAGTCAGAACATTTTTTTCTCGAAAATCGCGAACAATTTTGTTTAGTATTTCAACGCTATCAATCAAATTATTTTTCCATTGAAGGATTTTTTTTATTCAAAATAGATGTTTAATATTTTTTTAGCTATTGGAATTTCCTAAAATGTGTTTTTTAATATCTTGAAACAACTTGTAGTGAACACTATTAGTAATTTCTTATGTTCATGCTATTTAAAAAAAATCAATTTCTATTGTAATGAATAACAATGGACTTTGTTTTCGGGATGTAGAAGCAGGGGTTTTCCAGAAACCCCGCTCGTCACACCCTGTGGTCAAAATCCATTGTTATTCGTAACAATAGATCTATTCAAATTACACATGTTTCAGAAATAGAAACTATGAAGTATAACAATAGAACTGGGGTGTAAGTGGCAAAGAAACACGCGTGATCACGGAACATCGAACTTTTTTTTCAATGCACTTCTCACTACATGACCGATCAGCTTTGATCCATTCAGATAATGTGTCAACTTGACTCGCGTTAATCTATTTTCTGACATAGTCCTAAACTGCATATATCTTTTTCGAATTTAAGGGCTGGAGATTTTGCCGACAACACCAACACGTTGCTCATTGTTCACGATGCTATGTACTTGGTTATAAAAGTAGGACGTGCTTTTAAATGTACGATACATAAAAGCATTCTGAGGCGAGGAATTTACATCCTTGAAGGTGAAGGTCACTTATACTCCCTATGATTAGATTTCTTGGATGCAGTGCGTTTTGTGTATAAGTAACAAATGACAGATGTAATTTCATTTTTAATGTTATTAGGTTTTTGCCTACACTTACTGACCCAAGAATTATAACTGAATTAATACTTTAAAAAAGTGACCAAATTTTTATGAATGCTATTATTTATTAAGATACATGGAATCAGACATCCGAATTTTTACTTTATTGTTTAAGTGACAAGTTAATGTACTCTACTTGATTCTGCTGTTTATAAACGTATGGTCGTTGAAAATTTCTTTCGTTCGAGCAGTTTTCAACATAATTCAGTTTCACATGTTCCTGACAGTCATTCTCAGCAATATGTGCTTTTGGTTTATCAGGTGAGGAATCCAGTTCTGTGAATCCTGGAGAATGTCCGCAAGCAGTATTCTCTGAAGGTGTTAAATTTTCGTAGGTTGAGTTGTTTGTTGTAGAGAGATAAACATGTTTAATTTCTTCTATATCATTTTCAATCAAAGTCGAGTATGGCTTTTCATAACCATCGTACAAAATGTCCGAAGCATTGATGTCATTGTCCGATATTGATGACAAATGTTCATCAAACACATGGGATATACCTCTATTTTCCACAACTACATGTATTGTATTAGTTGTTGACAACATCTGGGTGTTTGTTCCTGAAATAAATAAAGTCATCATGTTTTCCATTTATTTAACGGAGAAACTAACTTCAGTGGGTCTGACAGCATAATTTCCTAAAATATTGAAACGTTCATGTCACTTTATTTTATCATTTAATGAAATTAAGAAACTATTGCATGACATTGACTGCGTTTGTACCATTTGAAATGACATAAATTTGAATTTAATAACATAAACTCCAAATACTCATATATATATATATATATATATATATATATGTGTGTGTATGTTCAGAAGTTCTAATTTTTTACAGTAAAGACATGCAATACATTCTTGAATAACATTCATAACCATGTAGAAATGCCCAACAGCTCTGTATTATTGATCCTATCAAAGAAGTTACGGGAAATAATATAAGAATCCCGTCATTTTCCTATTCCTATACTGATTTTTGTTGTATGTTTTTCTAGTCTACCGACAAAGACTATCAAATAAGTAAAACAAAATACCGAATTTATCAGGCAATTTTAGAAAGGGGAAGTCTATAAAAACAAAATCCAACGATATCAGACTGGTTGGTTTTCATAAAATAAAGCACGGAGCACATACATATGCCTGCACTATGTCAAGGAACCTCATCAACAATTATCTTAGAACATATCTTTATGTACTTATTATTCGGAGAATTTGATGTTGACGGCAAGTATTTAATTGTTTCTGTTTAAAATATCAACAACTTTAAAAGACGCAACACCATTTAGAGCTCAACATGTGATATAGACACTTGCCTAACGTCATACATCGCGACAAATTCGTTTCCCTAATGAGTATCACTTTTCAAAAAATAAAGCATTTATAATGTTTAACAGTCACATCATATACAAATATATACTGTGGATTCATTCATTGTCGTGGCTACTAATTGTCCTGGATTAAGAAGGGCAAGAAATATTTCGGTGGATGTTTGATTTACGTGGTTTTACAAAAGTCTATTTACAAGCCTATAGACAATTCATTTTTCGTTGAACATCTAAATTCGTGGTATACCTTTACCCACGAAATCCACAAAAAACGGTACCCAACGAATAATAATGAATCCACAGTAATGTGGCAAAAAAAGTAACTAACATGTAGTCACAGAACTATTAAACACACGCAATATTCTATATCTTATCTACATGTATCATTTTCTAAACGTTCACATTGATATTTTGACGGTGTCTCATTTCGTACCTTGTGTTGGTGTCAATAAGTTATCATCTTCAATTATGTCTGCATAATGAGAGCTTTCATCACCAAAGAGTTCAGGCGATGGGATATTCGTTGCAGCTTTAATTCTTAAATAATAAAATGTATGAAAAACATTACATAGTTTAAGTTTTTACAGTCCATGTTTTTTTTTTATTGTGTATTGTGCCTTACATTTTTCAGAGTATTATGATCAGGAAATGACAGAAACCGATCAATAGTGATAGATGAAAAACAATTGTACTAGAAATAATTGCACATGCACAATTAATCTTCAAATGATGTCTGATCAAAGGTTGCATGCTTTCTGATCCAAATGAGGTCTAACTAATAAATATTGTATACAAGACCATAATGTTCATCGAAGTGTTAGAGCTTATTTTGTCGAAATCGAGCATACATAATTTCTAACAGCGAATTAATATTCAATAATTCGTTGTTTTAAATGTATCTTTTTTATCAATTCCCTTTTATCAAACAGGAACATATTACCGTTTCATAGCATCTGATTTCAACCCCTCCCTCCCCTTTTCTGCTAAGGTTCTTGTGACTCTGTGTTTCGATTTCTTTCAAGTCTTTTGTTGACGGTTGTTTTACTTTTTCTCCTATCACCGTTTTCCATTTTTTGCTATGTTGTTTGCTCTTTTTATCAATTTTTGTTTATTGTCCCCTCGATATAATCACCCTCTCTCTATTCGCATTGGTGCATTTAGATCAATTTGCTTAGAAAAAAGCCTAACTTTTACCAATTATCCACAGCATATTATCAAAATATATTTGATATAAAGAATACAAAAATGTAGACCAACCTCTTTCTGTACATCTGTTTCAGGTACCCTAAAATTGAAACATAAAAAGAAAAATTACATTGCATAGTGTATATGAAAAAAAAAAGAGTTAAATGTAGTAAACTTGAGTTTGTATGAAATATTCAAGAAAGTCCTAACTCATTTGACCTTATAGGTGTAATACCACCATTGATTTTCCCCTATTAGTCTTTGTTAAATTTGCACTTTTCAAAAAATTGTGCAGAATATATCTTTGTTTCAAATAAAGAAATACTTGGCATGAGTTAAGTTTTATCCTGTCCAGTACTATAGAAAAAATTTCACATAACATTTCAATGCATATAAGAAAATAACCATCACTGGAAGTAAACCAATCAAATTTTCCCCCTTTTTTAACCTGTGTACAAGCTTTTGTTTTACTGCAATGAAATGTAGGATCAATTACCTACAACTGTCAAATTCAAGGGAATATTTTTTTTCGACCTATTTTCGTATACAACCGGATGTGACGTACTATGATTTGGTGGTATTACACCTAAAGAAGACTTTTTTGTTAAATAAACTGAATGCAACTTTTTTCCTTTGTAATACTGGTTATTTCAAGCATTCCTGTCAAGTTTTGTCATAATCAGTTCAATAGTTTGAGAAAAATCTAGTATAATGTAAGAAGACATCTACAGCGATTCGAGAAAAATCCAAACCAAGCCGCATCATGATAGAATACAGTGTGAACCAATAAATGATCAAATATTTATCTCATCTGCCTACAAACAGTTGAATATGATACAAAAGATGACTTTAGGATGTTAAATACTACTAATGGACCTCTTTGTCTTCCTTATAAGGTCTCTTTTGGTCCATTTATACCTCCCATTTCCTCAAAATTTCTACTTTTAGGCCAATAAATAAAAATTTTGGGGTAACTTTCACTCATTTATGATAGAAATGTTATAATAAATGATTAATTGAAGTATTCAAGCTGAATGAACTATCCGTATAAAAGTTTACTGTCTCCAAGGACGTTTCAATAAGTCCTTATGAAAAACTTAAATTTACGCCGCGTTCCAGAGAGGGACATAAAAAGCTACTCTTTTGGTGAATAATTTGTTGTTACTGCTTTAAAAATAATTTCATTTACTTAAAACTATATATTTATTAAAGTATTTCTTAGGAAAAAATTTCTAGTATAGCAGAATATAATAAATAAGGAGAAAAAGCTCCCCAAAACTCTAAGTATGGCTTGTTCTGTCAACTAATATTCATGGTAAAGTCCTATTTCAAGGAAATTTTCTGATAAAATGTGTTTTGGAGACTCAATCCACTCAGAATATTTCATTATTTGTAATATTTCACTTAAATAGCAAGAAATTTTAACACATTAGAGTACTCACAAGGTCAAAGGTGCATGTACAGCTTCCTATATTAGGTGTAATACCACCATTGATTTTCCCCAATTAGTCTTTGTTAAATTTGCACTTTTCAAAAAATTGTGCAGAATTTATCTTTGTTTCAAATAAAGAAATACTTCGCATGAGTTAAGTTTTATCCTGTCCAGTACTATAGAAAAAATTTCACATAACGTTTCATTGCATATAAGAAAATAACCATCACTGGTAGTAAACCAATCAAATTTTCCCCCTTTTATAACCTGAGTACAAGCTTTAGTAACCATGTAACCTCAAGTTTCCAAAATATTCTATAGAAACCCCAAATAAAAATATAATGGTGCTTTGAAATAACCAAGATATATGATTATGACCCCGAAATGTTTTACTGCAATGAATTGTAGGATCAATTACCTACAACTGTCAAATTCAAGGGAATATTTTTTTTCGACCTATTTTCGTATACAACCGGATGTGACGTACTATGATTTGGTGGTATTACACCTATATTGAAATTCACTAAGCAAAGGAAAGCCAATGAAAAGTTTCAACGCTATTCAAGTGCAATACATGTCGAGTCAAAGAAAGACATGAAATGACTTGAATAACTTTCTTCAACTTTGATTTCAAACTAATTGATTCTATGACTACAATTATACTCTGTACTAATTGTTAATTCATGACATAACCATTCATCAAACCTGAATGTTTATAATCATCATGCAAGAACTAATACTTACGATACGTGTGTAAATGAAATTTATCGCTATTCTCTTAAATTTTGCTTTGACAATTTTAATTATAATTGCCTAGGAACTTAGTCTACAGTGGTTGTCTTTGGTTCATGTCTGTGATATTTGTTTTTCGTAAATTGCTTTGTTATGAATTAGGCCGTTAGTTTTCTCAATTAAATAGTTTCACATTTTTTATGTCACGGCCTTTTATGGTATGGGTTTTTCTCATTGTTGAAGGTCGTATGGTTGCCTATAATTGCGTACACCGACTTTATTTGAAATTTGGAAGTTGTCTCATTGGTAACACATCTCCTTATTTTTGTATATATGGTCTCTTAACTCGAGGACGTTTTCGAAACCATATAAAATCTATAAACCTATATTGATTTTAATCGTTTTTGTACATAAAATTGACGACTTGTATGCACTCGTAAGAAGCAAAAAGACAAACAGGCTCTTATCGTCACATGAATAGTCATTATTTGGTCTAGGCATTGCTTTCTTGATGTTAAATATCGATTGTATATTGGCCCATTTTATTACTTGTTATCGCAATATATAAACCAATTAGTTTGTACTTACTAACATATATTCCCATTCCAGCTAGTATGACTACAATAATTATTAGAAAAACAATGATGGTGATGATTGTGACGTCTAAAGACAGTGTGATTTGTTCTGATGAGTTATTCACTGAAACACATTGTAAACAATATGTAATCAATCATAAAACGTATGTTAAGATTAATTTCAATTTAAATCACTACATTTACAAGCAATCAGAAGTTAGGTTATATATATATATATATAAAATCATAGCAGCTGCGTTCACTTTAGAAATGATTTGTATACAAAATATTTAATAAATAATTCAGTACATGGCATTGTACATAACGACCCTTGTATCATCCCTTGATATAATTTTGGATTTTGGGCTACGCCCTCGGTCTGATATGGAATTTTTGGGGTTATACCAGGCCCCATATGAAAATGTTATGCATTGATGTATAAATATAATGGATTGTTCATATGATATTTATTGACAATGTTTCTTTAATCTACATTTTGCAACCAATCTGATGTACAATGTATTGAAGCTAGGTGTATTTACTACTCTGCTTAGATGTCCATTTATCATTAAATATAGGAAACAGTATTCTATCAATGTTCAAATCCCATAAATAGATTAAACCAAATCACTAAGAATAGCACACTATCTTCGAAATGAGAGAGACTGGAAGTGTAGACACGGAAAGCATCTCCCTATATGCATGTACCACCCGCCAAACAAATCCGCCAATAGTCAAAATGTTACAATCGAAAATAGGACACAATCAGAAAAGATTACAGATTAGAGAACTATTTTGGAATCTAAAGAATTGTGACTGCGAAAACATGTCCCTGGTTAGTTGGAACACAGATATATCGTATCGTTCAACCAATATCGCTGACGTATGTTCTTCATTCTTCCTCATAATTCTGTTGCAGCAGTTTTTGTTTAAGGGGAATATCCCTGAAAATGAAGTATGTATACCATGACCATGCGCGAGTGTTACGTATTTAAAGAGATCTACAAACGGGCATACGATAGAGAAGAGCGTCCAACAGTTATGCTTGTCCCACTATTTCTTCACTTAACATGTTTAATATGAATTTAGCTTATAAACATACCGAAAGGTTTCCAGATGACATCAAAACTGCTATCTCCATAGATATTACACACAGTGACATTGAATTTACGAGATCCATGAACATTCAGTCCATTTAAAATAAGAATAATTTCTAAACCATTGACTGTCACGATTGCATCATGAAAACTTTCCTTGAGTAGAATGTAATTTGTTCTGACTTCTAAGTATTGCAGTTTAACTGACATATTACCGACTTCTTCTATGTCATGACAGTTTATCGCCAACGAACTATACACCTTTACTTTTATCGCAACTGATGCTTCCATCTTATTATCCTGAATTCTTTTGTTGTCGGCAGCAAAAACAGGAGGGCCTATTATTGAAATCAAAATTAAAGAAACAAACGGAACAAATAATTTGAACAGCTAGACAGATATTTACCGGAAAATTCTGTCCGTACATGTGACAAAAAATATACTTTACTTAATTATCTAACGTATTTAACATACATATATCGCATTTGTATACAAAATATTGTTAAGTAATTTTGCAATTGAGATCTTGTAAACGGGATATCATCCAATTTGAATTATGACCAATCATCGCCCATTTCAAATGCATTTTGCATCTGCTGCTTATGTTAAAGAACAGGGAAAACAAATGTAGTTAGTTAGTTCCGTTCAATATTCAATACAATTTGCCTAATCGTCCAAAAATGTTAACTACTAGTTTTTATAGAATTGCACTTCATGTTAAAATTTCAAATGCTAGATGTTTTTGAACAAGTTAGCCTATAAACTTTTGTATCTAATTTCACGTGCCGTGTCTTTTGGCATGGCTGTCTAAATAGCCATCACGTGCAGGCAATACAACCTCTGTTTTCTAGAGTAATTGTAAATTATTTTACATCCAATGAAAGAAAACTAGTTATTGTCAAACAATGTTCGATAATAAATTCTTCTATTTTGTATAATGAATTTAGGCAAGAGTATTGATGTTCAAATCTCAGAAATCGATTGAAACGTCAAATCAAGGCAACACACACACACACTCAGAAAATCGAATAAACTACCAATGGGGCCAAACTGGGTGCTTCGACAGCTAAATTGGCAGATAAATGTTTACAAACTGAAAATAATAAACATTTGTAACTACAACAAGTGCAAACAAAATGAAAATCATTATTTCTAACGCACAATATGTTTGACTAAGATTTTTAAGAATTGCGAAAGTCATGCTTTTTCCAGAGCGTAGTTATGCAGTTTATCCCGCAAAAGTTATAGGTGAAATCAACACATTACTAGCCAAAACATACGAAGAAATAAAACTTAATTTAATAGACAATAAACATAAATGCAACCGTGTGCACCATGGCCAATATATACATATTGCATATATAAAAATCAGTTGCACAATATACATAGTTTTAAACTAATTAATAAAAATTAAGGCGCATCCCTGGAACTCAGGAAACTACGAATATTACCTGACTAAGGCAGTTGAGTCGATACCGGTAGACAACGATGGTAAAACAAGGAATATTTGTGTACCTTTGAAAATTGAACAAAAACTGTATCAAATAAATCAATCAAGGTAAACCTATGATTGTTTCTACTTGGAATGTGTATCTTTGGTATTGGAAGATATTGATCTAAACTAGCTCGTTGATTGAAAACGTTTGATTTTGTCAGTTTTTATGGATTTTCCCTTTTTTGATTAAACTTGGAGTTCTGTATTTTTGGTATACTGTTTTCGTTGGGCAAGACGAGTGGTAATTCGTAAGAGAATTTTGTTATTAAAATATTATACCAATTAAAAAGCAAACCCTGTTGCTTAGGAAACATTTGAACACTTTTCTGACAAAAAGAACTCTGTGGATAGTGAACTCCTTATATAAAGGATTGATCTATTTGTTTTCAAGCTTTCGGGTATGCATACACGATACAGTCTGCAATTCACTAATATTCTAAATACATTAGTTGACTATTAATCACCAAACATCGTATTTTCCTTTATGTGTATGATGGTCCTGTATATATAACTTTTCCAAAATGCGTGCGCCCCTAAAACATTAATACGGTTTTGATTTGCAATCAGCAGATGTAGAACTGACTTCAGAGTCTGCACGAATTCTTTTGTACAGTGTAATTGTTACATTTATTTGAGATTTGTTGTTTTTATACAGATGTGTAAGAATTAAGTACATTTTATATTTTATGTTCTAATATTTATGTACGTTTTTCTAAGTACCGTTCATTATTTTACTGGCCAAATTCAACAAAGAGGAGGGTCGTTAAACCTTTGCACTTGTACTGTTTAACATCATAATTGAGTCATTGAATTGGCTTTCATTGGCGCATACTTCCCATGGCTGATTTATAATAATTACTGACTGATTGTGTCATTTGTTGTTCCACTCACTTAGAAACAGTTTATATGTTATATGGAGGTCTGAATACTCACAAAACTATTTGTTTTTTGTTGATTTTTTAAAAAATATCTCTGTCTCTCTTATATCCATTGAGGAACATGACGTATCCAACCACCGATATTCGAAAAGAAATATATATATATTTTAAGTACAAAAATTGAATGTGTCTAGTTATACCTATCGATACAAGGTAGTACGCTCTACCTAGCTGAAAAACATTCCCACGTTAATCAGGAATCCCGTTTGAAACATTGCATATATAAAACCCTGTATCTTGGTAAATGTTTGATCCGTTGATTTCTGGCAGTCGAAGAATTCCATCATCTGCCTCGTTTAGATATCTTATATGTTCGTTAAACAGGGATTGGTGTTCCCACATAAAGTAATTATACGTATTTGGTTCCCCTTTGGCAAGACATCGAATTTCTCTTTTGCTATATTCAGTCAAATTTCTGTACCGAAAATTAATGACAGGAGGATCTATAAATAAAAATTGGTTAATTTTAATGATCTTGAGGATTGTATATGCATCTTGTTTTGTGAAGGGGTAAAATATGGTGAATCATGAATTACTTCTTACTCAGCAACTATTCGAAATTTTGACAAGATAAACAAAAAACACCTGATCGTTCTTGTGACGTTATCATAATTTATTTCGAAAAAATTCGAAGAAATATTAGATATTTGGAAGTGAAATTCTTACATGAAATAATTAGCGAGATCTCACTAGATGCATCACCAATCTCGTTCCGGGAACTGCATGTGTACTTGCCAGTGGCATTACGACTCACATTACTCATCTTATAGCACAGTGAAGAATTACTAAATGTTGAAACTAATTTTTTATCCTCTTCATACCAGGATATTGATGTCGGGTTCGGATTACTCCTTGATATACAACAGATATGTGCGATTTCACCTTCCACCACTGTTAAATAACTGCTTACATTTATTCTAACGGACGGCGTATCTGAAAAGTAATTATGCATATATATATATATATATATAAGTCTAGAGATTTGCACAACGATACTAATATAAGATGGTATTATACGCATCATTGAGGCGTTTGTGGAAGTACTTCTGGAGAATGTCGTTCGTGTGATGAAAAACGCTGCAAATGCTGCCTACAGATGCATCACTCATCAACTTTTCACAGTAAGGCAACCGAAAATAACTATAAGATATTTTGCAATGTTAACTGCAAAAGTATGAATGTTATTTACATTCTAGAATGTTCGGTTTGTGGCCTCCAATATGTTGGTGAGTCAAAGCAGCCTTTCCACAAACGCCTCAATGGCCATAGGAGTGATATCTCTAAGAAGCCACTTCTCCCAGTTTCTCAGCATTTCAGACAGTCTGGTCACACACTTGATGACTTTAACCGCATGAAGATCCTAGTGATTGAACAGAACATTCACTGGAGTGATGCCCAGCGACAGGTTCGGGAAATCTTTTGGATAAAGGAACTAAATGTACATCATCCAAACGGCATCAATAAAAAATACTAAGTTTTATTTTTCACTCATTTTGGGTTGCAAATATACACAGTCACGTATATTTGAGTATTGAGTTTTGTTTTATATTATGATGTTCAGGATTTTGGATTAAATCAATAGACCAAAACTTACCTGTATTATTGAGCTATTTTTATACATATTATCAGTATTGTTAAAATAATTGACACCGAAGAAGGCTATTTGTTAAGCCGAAATATTTGTCAACACGATTTATTAACAACATCTTCGTATAATACCATCTTATATTAGTATCGTTGTGCAAATCTCTAGACTTATATAATTTTTTCCTTATCTGCACAGTATCGTCTATTCTAGACGATCCGGTACATAGTAAATTTGCTGGTTGGTCCTTTTTATAGACTTCTATATATATATATATATATATATATATATATTATATGTTACTATGATTGGAAGGGAAATGCAATATACAAATCTAAGTACTACATTCAAATGTGAATCTTCAGAATCAGTCATTAATACGCTTAAAGTAAAAGAGGGGTTTTAGGAGTACTGCCAGTGTTTTCGTCTTCAACATTTTTATAAAGATGCCGACATACATTTTAATGTACTGAAAAGTAAAATAACAAAAATACCGAATTCCAAGGAAAATTGAAAACGGTAAGCCCCTTATGAAATGGCAAAACCAAAAGTTCAAACACATCAAACGAATGGAAAACAACTGTCATGTTATTGACTTGGTGAGGTATTTCCTGATGTAGAAAATAGTGGGTACATATTTGATACATCAAGCACATGTTTACATTACCAATCATGATTCCGTAGCACCGATACAGTTTAAAACTTCATTGGTTTTTGGATTGACGTTCGTCGGGTTTAGTATTCATCTACTAAATGACCTATACAATATCACACTGTGTAAAGATACGTTTTAAGGAAAATAGCAGAAAGTGAATGTTATCGTGTTATTGAAGATTGATTGAGTTTTATTCAGATAATGCCCGATTTCATATCCCAAATGCAAAGTGACAAATACAATTATATCATATAATGTAAGGATTTATATTCGGCCGTATGTCAGCTGCTGATATAAATTAAGGCAACAGTAGTATACCGCTGTTCGAAACTCATAAATCGATAGAGATAAAAACAAATCCGGGTTACAAACTAAAACTGAGGGAAGCGCATCAAATATAAGAGGAGAACAACGACACAACAAAAACACAACATTAAAATGTAACACACACAGAAACGAACTATAATATAACAATAGCCATTTTTCTGACTTGGTACAGGACACTTTAAGAAAAAAAATGGTGGGTTGAACCTGGTTTTGTGGCATGCCAAACCTCCCGCTTGCATGGCAACGTCAAACACAACACCAAAACGACAACATCACATGACAGGACCACAATACAAATAAATGGGAGAACATATAGGACAAAGAAACACATGAATATTAGCTAACAAAAGGTACTAGGCTTAAAATTCAATACGCCAGACGTGCGTCTTGTCCACACAAGACCAACCAGTGACGCTCAGATGAAAACAGTTTGAAAGCCAAAACAAGTACAAAGCTGAAGAGCAACGAGGACCAAAACTTCCAAA